GGTAACAGGTACGGCTCCATAAAAGTTTGGGCGGATAAAGTTATTATCACGAGAACCACGAAAGCTAGAAGGCTGAAATTTTGTAGGCATGTTCCCTGTCTCCGTGCTACCCAGGAAATTTAAATTCATCCTTTTCCTGTCCATAGGTAACACGAACGGCGTCGTAAAAATTTTTGCGGGTAAATTGTTGTCTCGGGAACCATGGAATCTAGGAAGCTGAAATTTTAGGATAATGACCCCTTTTCCACGTGCGACCTTGCAAATTCAGATTCAGCGTTATTGCGCTCGCTGGTATCACCTACGGCCCCGCGAAAATTTTGGTGGGGAAATTATTACTTCAGAAACTATAAGAGCCAGGAAGCTGAAATTTTACGGTGATGTCTTCTGTCAAAACACAGTCCTGCGATTTTAAATTCGGCCTTCCCGAGCGCCCGAGTATCACTTACGGCCCCGTGAAAGTTCGGCGGGGAAAATTAGTATCTCGGGACCCGCGGAATTTGGGAATCTGCAGTTTTGGAGTGATCTCCTCTATCAACGTATGACCTCGCAGATTTGCATTCAGCCTTCACTTAACCTGGGTACCACGTATGGCCCCGCGAAAGTTTTGATAGAGAAATTATTGTCTTGTGTAAGTGAAATTTTTAGTAGGAAATTCCGCAATTTGAGAGCCAGACAACATTTCAACTATTTTTGCACTGACCAAAATACAAAGCAGTGAGAATCATTAGGAGGCAATCGTTCGGTGGATGGAATTGCACAAAACCCATGATCGCACCGGCTGCCCTGGTGCGCATCGCTATTTATTGCATTTGCATTTATGCAAAAACGCATAATCAGTTTATTGATAGATTCGCGCTTTCCTCTTTTCGCTTCTCACCCTCTCATCTTCACCCGGTTACACAAGGCATTTATAGACTGAAACACTCAGCGATTTGGCTAAATTTTCTGCCGTTCTGTGCAGATTTTTTGTTCGTGCTCTCTGTGGGCAGAACAAGTAGCATTCGAAAGGTCTTCGTAAAGCCGGCCTGGCTGATGTGTGCCGCTGAACACAGTATAGCAGTTTCGAGATGATTATATTTACAAATTGATGTTGCAGTCACTGTGCGACTACATTTTTGGCGTGAAGTTCCACGTGACGGGTGATACGATAAACGCGAATGAGCCGGCACTTATCATAATGAACCACAGGACTAGGCTTGACTGGATGTTTTTCTGGAATGCTCTCTATAAAATGGATCCATGCTTGCTTACCACTGAAAAGATCGCACTGAAGAAACAGCTGGAACACATTCCTGGCGCAGGTGTGTGCCGTTGTTTTTTTGCTTTCCTGTGAAATATATCTACAGGCTATTTTTCGTTCTGGTAACGTTTTAATACTGTAGTTAAGGTAAGGTAAGAATCATTTAATTTCAGTACTACTTTCACTAGGTGATAGCGAAATTATTAGTTTCACCCTTGCTTCCCCATTGTTTTGACTGAAATATGTTGACTGGTTGCCGGACTGATTGTTTGATTG